CGGGAAGAGAGAAGTTATAAGACCCAAACGGTGTTCAGGGTCAAACGGGAGGGACGAACGAAGTGATCATGAGGGTCTAACGACCTTAAGGGGGGGTCACACCACATTTTTCAAGTAATGGAAATATACATCGATTTTTTTTTCAATTTTCCCATCGAAAAATCGTAATTTTTGGTCTGTGATTATTCTCGAGTCCACCAACAATCCCCCAACATCAGCTGCCATTCTATCACGCGGGGTTATGCTCGTTTATATGAAACGAGAGATAGTAGTTTATCGTTTTGGCTATTCAATAGTCACAGACAAATGAATTCTTAAATGAAATAACAATATGATATGACAAATCTTGTAACTCAGGGAGAAAATATTTCTTGATAAAATTCTCTCTATAAAAGTATATTTCAGGGCGAGTGCCACGGGGTTTTTCACTCATGTGGAGTTAGCGTCCGAGCCGAAGGCGAGGACTAACCAACCACGCGAGTAAAAAAACCCCACGGCACTAGTCGTGAACGATATTTTTTCGCAGTGATTTTCACTTTTAAGAGTTTGGGGAAGGATCAATACCAATCCCCGGACGAGGAAAACTGAATGGGGTTTTTCACTCACGTGGAGTTAGCGTCCGAGCCGAAGGCGAGGACTAGCCAACCCCGCGAGTAAAAAAACTCCATGGCACTAGTCGTGAACGATATTTTTCCGCAGTGATTTTCACTTTCACGAATTTGGGGAAGGATCAATACCAATCCCCGGACGAGGAAAACTGAATGAGGTTTTTCACTCACGTGGAGTTAGCGTCCGAGCCGAAGGCGAGAACTAGCCAACCCCGCGAGTAAAAAACCCCACGGCACTAGTCGTGAACGATATTTTTCCGCAGTGATTTTCACTTTCACGAATTTGGGGAAGGATCAATACCAATCCCCGGACGAGGAAAACTGAATGAGGTTTTTCACTCACGTGGAGTTAGCGTCCGAGCCGAAGGCGAGAACTAGCCAACCCCGCGAGTAAAAAACCCCACGGCACTAGTCGTGAACGATATTTTTCCGCAGTGATTTTCACTTTCACGAATTTGGGGAAGGATCAATACCAATCCCCGGACGAGGAAAACTGAATGAGGTTTTTCACTCACGTGGAGTTAGCGTCCGAGCCGAAGGCGAGAACTAGCCAACCCCGCGAGTAAAAAACCCCACGGCACTAGTCGTGAACGATATTTTTCCGCAGTGATTTTCACTTTCACGAATTTGGGGAAGGATCAATACCAATCCCCGGACGAGGAAAACTGAATGAGGTTTTTCACTCACGTGGAGTTAGCGTCCGAGCCGAAGGCGAGGACTAGCCGACCCCCGAGTAAAAAAACCCCACGGCACTAGTCGTGAACGAAATTTTTCCGCAGTAATTTTCACTTTCACGAGTTTGGGGAAGGATCAATACCAATCCCCGGACGAGGAAAACTGAATGGGGTTTTTCACTCACGTGGAGTTAGCGTCCGAGCCGAAGGCGAGAACTAGCCAACCCCGCGAGTAAAAAAACTCCATGGCACTAGTCGTGAACGATATTTTTCCGCAGTGATTTTCACTTTTACGAGTTTGGGAAAGATCAATACCAATCCCCGGACGAGGAAAACTGAATGGGGTTTTTCACTCACGTGGAGTTAGCGTCCGAGCCGAAGGCGAGAACTAGCCAACCCCGCGAGTAAAAAAACTCCATGGCACTAGTCGTGAACGATATTTTTCCGCAGTGATTTTCACTTTTACGAGTTTGGGAAAGATCAATACCAATCCCCGGACGAGGAAAACTGAATGGGGTTTTTCACTCACGTGGAGTTAGCGTCCGAGCCGAAGGCGAGAACTAGCCAACCCCGCGAGTAAAAAAACTCCATGGCACTAGTCGTGAACGATATTTTTCCGCAGTGATTTTCACTTTTACGAGTTTGGGAAAGATCAATACCAATCCCCGGACGAGGAAAACTGAATGGGGTTTTTCACTCACGTGGAGTTAGCGTCCGAGCCGAAGGCGAGAACTAGCCAACCCCGCGAGTAAAAAAACTCCATGGCACTAGTCGTGAACGATATTTTTCCGCAGTGATTTTCACTTTTACGAGTTTGGGAAAGATCAATACCAATCCCCGGACGAGGAAAACTGAATGGGGTTTTTCACTCACGTGGAGTTAGCGTCCGAGCCGAAGGCGAGAACTAGCCAACCCCGCGAGTAAAAAAACTCCATGGCACTAGTCGTGAACGATATTTTTCCGCAGTGATTTTCACTTTTACGAGTTTGGGAAAGATCAATACCAATCCCCGGACGAGGAAAACTGAATGGGGTTTTTCACTCACGTGGAGTTAGCGTCCGAGCCGAAGGCGAGAACTAGCCAACCCCGCGAGTAAAAAAACTCCATGGCACTAGTCGTGAACGATATTTTTCCGCAGTGATTTTCACTTTTACGAGTTTGGGAAAGATCAATACCAATCCCCGGACGAGGAAAACTGAATGGGGTTTTTCACTCACGTGGAGTTAGCGTCCGAGCCGAAGGCGAGAACTAGCCAACCCCGCGAGTAAAAAAACTCCATGGCACTAGTCGTGAACGATATTTTTCCGCAGTGATTTTCACTTTTACGAGTTTGGGAAAGATCAATACCAATCCCCGGACGAGGAAAACTGAATGGGGTTTTTCACTCACGTGGAGTTAGCGTCCGAGCCGAAGGCGAGAACTAGCCAACCCCGCGAGTAAAAAAACTCCATGGCACTAGTCGTGAACGATATTTTTCCGCAGTGATTTTCACTTTTACGAGTTTGGGGAAGATCAATACCAATCCCCGGACGAGGAAAACTGAATGGGGTTTTTCACTCACGTGGAGTTAGCGTCCGAGCCGAAGGCGAGGACTAGCCAACCCCGCGAGTAAAAAAACCCCACGGCACTAGTCGTGAACGATATTTTTCCGCAGTGATTTTCACTTTTACGAGTTTGGGAAAGATCAATACCAATCCCCGGACGAGGAAAACTGAATGGGGTTTTTCACTCACGTGGAGTTAGCGTCCGAGCCGAAGGCGAGGACTAGCCAACTCCGCGAGTAAAAAAACCCCACGGCACTAGTTGTGAACGATATTTTTCCGCAGTGATTTTCACTTTTACGAGTTTGGGAAAGATCAATACCAATCCCCGGACGAGGAAAACTGAATGGGGTTTTTCACTCACGTGGAGTTAGCGTCCGAGCCGAAGGCGAGGACTAGCCAACCCCGCGAGTAAAAAAACCCCACGGCACTAGTCGTGAACGATATTTTTCCGCAGTGATTTTCACTTTTACGAGTTTGGGGAAGATCAATACCAATCCCCGGACGAGGAAAACTGAAGGTCAGTACGAAAAATATATTTTTATGCTGTTTTGCTCTCAGTACACAATTTTCCGTCGTACGCGGGGGAGCGGGAGGGAAGTCCAATTTTCCCCAAACCAATAGTGAAACGTCTCAAATCTCCAACTCCTCCCAAGCCTATACAATACATCCAAGTCCCAGTAACCAGGCACGTCTGTGCACTGGCGCGCACGTATGTGAGTTGACTCCAAAGTGAATGAATCCAGGAAGGTAACCCGATGCAGTGTAAAGGCCCTCAGTTGGCCTCGGTCTCGCGCGCGCAATAGCGTCCAACTAAAGATTACCCAGACTCCCTCTTCCTCCTTAGCCCGTATCACGATGACAAATACTCCCGGAAATACCGTTCGAGCGGAACGGACTGTATTTTAATTTCCGCGATCGTCCAATCCCACCAATACAAGAGATATCGAAATGGAAAGGCCGAGGAGTTATGCCTCATGATAATTAAACGATGAATAACATTTATAAAAATTACTGAGCTGGTGAAAAAAAAAAAATGATGGGGTTCGAGGATCGTAAAGCACTGATCCCGTTACAACTGACAGGTAAATGTTATATATACCGATCACGAGAGGTGGCTATTGCTCATGCAAATGTAGGATACACTCGAGTCGTTTGGACACGGAGATGTGCACTTGTGCAGTTGTAATGTTCAAATTTCATGTATCAACTTCCTGTGTCAGCAACACCTCTGATTAATGTGTCAGTGAAATGGCTGTAATTTAAAGACACCCGAGACAAAATGAAAAATAAACGTAAAAATAACGACTCTGAGATTTGCAAATGGAGATGAGTATTTTGAATGATCGCGTGTGGTGAATGTGTCTCAAGGTCTCACGTCAACAGACTACGAGGTCACAAACCAGGGGATTATGTAACCGTTTGGTTCGACGAACTGTACCTCACGTCAATCCCTCGTTTTATGGTTATGCAGGTATCGCCGAGCAGGAAATTAACCAGAAATGCTGTACTTGGCTCGTATTTTATCGATGAATTTAACAAACTTTTTGTTAACCATTGGAAAAATTATGAGGAGTAAGCAACGAATGGGCGCACGGAAAAGGAAATGACGATTGAATATAAACGAGTTATGCTGAGAGAGGAGAGGACGAATGGACTCTCTTTCAAACAGCTTCGAGCAACAGGAGAGCAAAGTAAAATGGAGATTGCGCGAGTATACGTCCTAGGCCTGTCTCGCAACTCTTGCTTAATTGACGCTGAGATCCTCTTCTTGGGATGTCTACTATACTTTGCCGCGTCTTGTGTGTAATGCTTTCTAAGCCCCATCTACTCGCTTAGTATCCCAGGAGGTACAACAACTCTTCGCAGCCTTCGCTCTTGCACTAGACGTTATGGAATACTCGTGCGAGTAATATATATCGCACTGGGAGAAAACATTCGACTCCTTTAAACTCATTTCTTTTTTTTTCTCTGATCCTTTAATTAGTTTGATATCGTAGCTCTTGATCTAATTGACATTTATCGATTTTTTTTGCTCTCGTTGAGTAATATTTATGTCATTTCGATTTTTCTGAGGGGGGGAGGGGGGGTTATTACGTAATAGTAATTCCATGAAATTCTTGGTGGATGGCTTTTTAAGGAGAAAATAGTGCGGGAAGTTGTGAAGAATCACTCACCACAAGGAGAATAGTTCATGTCGGCTGGCGCAGACTTTTTGTTCATCTTCTGAAATAGAAATGAAAAAGAATTTTGAAAACTTTTGAATGTTTTTGGTTGCAATGGCAGGTACACTTGGGAATTTTTTTTCGCGTTATTGTTGCATTGAAATTTCGAGGAATTTCGACATTGAAAAGTGAAATTTTTGTGGAAAAAGCAATGAAAGCTGTAAATTTCAGTACAACTATTCCTGGAAATAGATGGAAATCAGGAAAATTCAGGTTAAAATATTCGTGGATTTTCAATTAATTAATATAATGTAATGTAATTTGGAAATGAATAAATCAAATTTCAAATTTCACCGGTTTTTCGTTGCAAGGGTTAACTTGCCAACGCGGCCATCGCCCGAGGGCCTTCAGCCAGGGAATGTTGAATGTGGAGTGGATTTTTCAGTTGAAAATTCCATGGAATATTCAGTTTGAAAATTGTGTTGAATTTTCAGTTGAATATTATGTGGAAAATTGTGATGAAAAATTGGTGTGGAATTTTGGCCCGGCCGGGGCTCGAACCTGGGAGCTTGAGGTTGTGAATCTCATGCTGCTACTAAGTGCGCCACACAGCCGGGTTTGGAAATGAATATTATTCTGTGAAAATTCAGAAAAATCAGGAAAATTCAGGATAAAATTGAAGATTCATGTCTTTTCGTTCGTGAATATTCATGTTCCACTGAAAACTCACAAATTCCAGTGAATTCTACTTGACATGAAACATGAAATTTCATAATAATTTTGTCTCTAAATCCAATTCAATGTCTCATCAAATTTGCTATACTATCTCTCATGAAATTTCAAAAAAATTTCAACAGCGCATGCCTTATGTCGGATAGGCTCGAACCCCTGCTTGTTATTTTCTCTCTAGACCAAATTCAATGTCTCCTGGAAAATTCCTAGTCAACTGTCCAGGATATTTCATTTCTTTATGCCAACAATGAAGGAAGAACAATAACAACAGCAAAAGCAGTAAAAATAACCAAAGTTCAACAATCCCATAACTCATCCGCGTTTGTCTCCGTAATGTAATTCATCCAAAGACACACTGTACTGTCTCTCCGATGGTACATTGATACGTCTAGCCGTACGTTTTAAACGCAAATGGCGAATAAAAAGAGAAATCCCTCAAGTGTGCGTGATTAAACTACGTAAATCACTTGGGTCAGTCCGTCCCTGGCATCCCCTTAATTAATCATTTAACGCCACTTTGTCGCGTAAAATCTACGTCTCCGGTTTCCTTCTTCCACCCTGCACTGTCTCCTCGTACGTTCACGGACCATAAATAGTAATACCCAGGCAGTAATTCTTTTCGGATTCTCTTTATTCAACTATTTCATTTAACGTTTTGTACACTGTACAGAATTCTTGCGTGACATTTGCGTCTCACATGCTGGAAATAATTACCCTGGATATTGCGTAATCTGTTTGAATACTCATAAGGGTGGGATTTGAAGAAGAATATTAAGGATGCTTAACCCATCAAGTGGACAACTCAGTTGAAAAGAAAAATAAAATTGACTGAATAAATCATTCATGTTGCAAATTATTTTTCTCATCAAATTAGAAGTGTTGTGGTGTACTTTTCCGGTCTCAAAAACAATAATTGAAGAAAATTTTCATAGATAATGGAGGACTTGTGACTGCAGTGTATTGAGAGAAAAATCTGAAGTTCGATTTACAATAAGAAAATAGTTGAGCCAGTTTTGGTGAACGATACGATTTTTTTTTGTATGCGGCACATAACATTATAGTAACTTCACAAACATAATTTTTGCAAATCAAAATGCAGTTAAACTAACCAAAGTTCAAAATTAACCACGACAAATCTATCGTGAGCAGAACTATAAAATAGTTGCAATGACTACATTCCATTGTAGTAATCACTTCTCCGGCCATAGTTACCGTAACCCATGCAAAATTGTTGAGGACTTTTTGACTATAATTCGATGGTAATGGAATCACAATCACTCACTAAAGTTCTGAAACAATCTGAACTTGCATCCTATGTATTTCGTTTCAGAACTTTCAAAAAATTGTACAATATTTCAATCAATATGAAAATTCAATAAGACCAAAAATATGGAAAAAATTAAAAACAGTACATAAATATAAATTTTACCAAAACCAATATAAATTAAGAAATTCCCTCCATTCAACTATTTCATCTCGCGTTCTCCATCCAAAATCCTTGCGTGACATCTGCGCATCACATGTCGGGAATAATTACCCTGAACATTACGTAATTTATTTGAATACTCATACGAGGAAGCTTCAGGTTAAGGGTGGAGTCGAAAAAATAATGTTAAACAGAATGAACGAATTAAGCATGCATTCACACGGTAATTCATTGACACGTTAGTGGCGAGCCCACAGTTTTTATCATTCTTTATTTTCCTATTGAATGCAGGTGCATATAAAGCTTCCTCCTCGAGTCTGGTAGCACATAACCCCGCGGCGTTATTACGCGGCAAATGCGTCGCCGGCATAATTAATACGCTCAAACCAATAAATCGGACTTTACATTCAACGGCTAGCCAATGCCTCTCTCATTCTACTTTATCATTCATCTCTTTTCTTCTGGCTGGTGGGATACATCGGAAAAGGAGAAATTGCTCACCAGTTGCTGCATACAACTCGTTTCTATCCGATAGATTGCCCTCAACTCGCGAGCTGGAGTTATTTCCTTCGGGGCGTATGCGCTTATTTATTCTAGGGGTGAATATTAATGATTTTTAATTGTTTTAATGCGAGATTCTTGGCTTGCCTCGGGCGACGAGGGCTTTCAGAAGTCGTGGAATATTTTAATTTCATGGTGATGGATGAGGGATTATTTCTGTGAAGATGTTTTCGTCAATCGGATTCCTCGCTTTATTCAAATATTTTCTGAGACAATCATATGATGCGAATAGATCTGGCTTCCTTTGGAAACTTATGAAATGTTTAGAAAATGAAAAAGGTGTTGTTGATTTCCGCTATACCAATCTATTTTCTACTGATGACTTCTCAATCAAATTTGACATTCATCTTGACGAATAATACGACGAGAAAATATCAGAAATGTTTCAACACACTAACAGAAAAAAATAGTTTTATTAAGAGAATTTTATTTGCATGAACTATCATTTGGTTGCTAATTTTCAAATAAACATGATTTCAAAGTGAATACCAGTTATCTCTTCTTGAGATACATTTGATTGAGAGAAATCGAACTTCTCTAGAATTCAATTTCCGTTTATTTGTCGCAATAATGAGGGTATTTGATTTCTTTCTATAGCCAAAAGTTTGCCAACTCCAGAAATTCGTTGGTTTACTCAAAAATCAAAATTATTCTCATGACTAAATCTCTTAGAATTCTTTAATGTCTAAAGGAGGTTAGGCGGTGTTTGAGGTGAATTTGAGAGTGAATTTCTGTGGTTCCCGGTAGCTTAGTCGGTAAGAGTGCCCGGCGCGTATCTGG